GTGAATGTTGGTTTATAAACCCCATGAATACATATGAATACTGGTTCGTTATATCTGCCATAAACCAAAGTTATGGGAGTTGTAAACCAACTTAGCTAACTATGGGGCACCACCTTGTACGCTCTGGTAAACATACAAAACACTATGGAAAATCACCATTTTCAATGGGTAAATCCACTATAAATGGACATTTTCAATAGCTATTTTGACATAACCAGAGGGTACACCCTATGAGATCATCCCCGGATAAAAATTTGTTTATCTAATGTTTAAACATATTTGATCTCACATAACATGTGTCAGCAAATCATCTAATTGAACCAATGCCCAAAATAATCTATGATTGTCAGCACCCAACCTAATTAGTCATCTAATTAAACATATTACTAAATATTTGTATGATCTATTTTTTTAAAAAATGCCCAACCTTTTATGTACCTGTGAGATAGGCACTGTAACCAGGCTTACGTTAGCAAAAAACTTATGTGTTACTAAAATCCCATACCTAGACCCTCCAGGTCAGGTACCCTCAACATGATTTTATTTTAATACTATTGCATTTTTTTGTGGGAATTGGGAGGGTCAGATCATGTCTCATAACCAGGATAAGTCTTCGATGCAGGATGGTTGCTTTGCCGATGCCCCTATGCTCGTCGCAAGCATCATGTCCAATGGCTTCAAAACCCCGTGCGGCGTTTTGACAGTGGCCCCGCGGCTTGGTTTCAGTGCCGTGGTGTTTTTCAGGTCCTTCGAAACGTTGGTGGTTTATAACTACGGTGCACTAGTTAACTATAAATAATCCTTTAAGGATTATGAATTATGACTAGTTACGGCATACCGCAAGTTATATATATATTTTTGTTGGTTTATCACTCTAGTTGGGTCATAAATCATAAAGCAACGCATAATCGTCACTGCGGGATGACCACCAATGACCAAGCGTAGCGTCGTAGCGTGGCAGGGGACGTTCGACGTTCCCTCCGCCAGGTCGAGTCTGAGGGGTTTCAGAGCCAAATTGCACCAGTTCATCATTCTGGGTAAATTATAACGACCGAACCCTGTTCTCCCGAACCCTGGAATCATAGTTAATAAGGGAAATCATCCCCTTTTATGGCCGAACTATTCAGGTTAGTGAAATATATTATAATTTACCCAGACCATTCGATGATGGAAGAAATGGTGTACCCTCTGGTAAACATACAAAACGCTATTGAACATGGCCCAGTCGAAATAGTTTATTTACCCATTAATAGCATGGTGATTTTCCATAGTTATGTAAACATTTACCAGAGGGTAACATAGAAACCACACAGATGACATCGATAGTGTCTCAACTATAAATAGATAATAGACAATTTCTTTGCATTATTATATATATATATTATAATATACAAAATATATATAACATATACATAATATGGAACCCTTAGACCAACATGATTATGGAAGTATCTCATTGATTCAGCACTCTGGGCGCCACCAGGGAGCTCATGGAGTAATGAGACCGAATTGGACCCTGGACTGTTCACTTAAAAATGCTGCTTTAGCACATAATCTTAGTACCTTTACCATTCTTTTGGGAAGTATTTCAAGAGTCTCCCTCTCTATACGTACATCCATGCATACATACATACATACATACATGTATACATGTATACATGTATACATGTATATAAATATGTTTCTCTCTATCTATCTATCTATCTATCTATCTATCTATCTATCTATCTACCTACCTACCTACCTATCTATCTATCTATCTATCTATCTATCAGTCTATCTACCTATCGACCTAATCTATCTATCTATCTATCTATCTTTCTTTCTTTCTTTCTATCCAGCTACCTTCTATCGAGCTATCTATCTAATCTAATCTATCTAATCTAATCTACTCCAATCCATTCCAATCCAATCCAATCTAATCTAATCTATTTATCTTCTATCGATCTATGGTTGAGTAGCTCACCATTTCTCTTCTTTTCAAAGGGAAAATATGCGCTTGGCCATGGCATGACCAGAACAGGATCACCGAACAAAACTGGAACAACTCGAGGCCGGACTTCATTTCTTGCCGCTGTACTTGTGGTTGCTGAGACTTCCATCCGTAAGGCCCTGGCTCCAAGATTGCCAAGCGAGCGGGGTTGGGGGTGAAAAAGAAGATGATAGCAACGGGAAATCGGCGCTTAAATGGATTTGGTTACTGATGTTTATCATTTGTTTATCCAAACGTATTCCTTTGGTGTTGGGAGCAATCCTTGTTTACCAAAGGTTGAAAAAACAATGAAGAAGGGTATGAGTCTAGTGTGGGAATCCCAGTCTCAAACGGGTAGAATCACTCCAGAAAAGTTCCCAGAAATGGTTCGCTCAGACTGGAGAGCTTCTGAGTGGACAGGATTGTTGGTATGCCCTCCAAACGGTTCAGTAAGAGTCTTGAGTAAACCCAAGAGAATGAAGAAGCGCTGAAAGTATTTTGGAGATGGACGGGTCCAAACATGCATTTTATGAAAGACTGCGGCTAAGGGGATATGCCATGATACGGCATGTTCAGCTGTTTTGGATCCATGTCTGGGAATAAATACCTTAAATCGGCAAATACTGAAGATGAACAGAAACTTTTTTTTTTATTCCGCTTAGTTTGGTGTACATTGGCTCTGGTTTCAGCTGCAGCAAGGAATGTTAGCTGCTTGGATGGTATAGTGAAACGAACTGATACCCTCCAGGAAGTTATAAAAGTGTGTGAACTGGGCAATCACCAATTTGAAAAGGTAAATCAATGAAGTAAATGGGCAATTTTTCATAGATATGTTAGTTTACTGGAGAGTCAGGAAGCGCTTTCAAAATCCACGAAGATCTAGGAACTGCATCAATATATGTATATAATTATACGTATATATATATAATTATATATATATATGTATATAATTATATATATGTATGTATATAATTATATATATATATATATATGTATAATTATATATATAATACATATCCACTGAGGTTCAGACAATCTGCAAATGTTAGACTGTTAGACGATATCAGAACGTCCCACTCCACGTTGCATTCCCCAAGATATCGACCTCAAGGACCACCCACGCGCCCGCTGGCAGAATACCTGGCTTCATCATTTTGGGCGTTTTACTTTGTTTTGGACGTCTTCTTGGTCTCGTTTGGGACACTCAGCTTTGGAAGTCAACAGTCACATGAGTCACATCGTTGGAGATGTGCAGGTCAGTGGAGATTTATTCTTTTTGTTTGGTGTTGCAGAGTTATGGCAGTTATAGTTTAGCAAGGAACGTTCACAAAAAAAATCCATGATACTTGAATCCGGTTGTACCATGTTTTACATCTTTATGACTTCCCAGGACTGAAGTTGTCCACGTTTTTTTCTCTCGCTGGGCGGCTTGTGTATGAACAGGAATCCAAACAGACACCGGATGACCAAGCGCGGTGGTTCCACTTGTCTTTGTGCATCGATATTTGTTTAACAAGAGTGTCGTAGAACCAGCTACAACCCTCATGAGATGAAAGCAGTCGATTCTGGTCACTTTATGGATTTATATGGATTTATATGGATTTATATTCAATTTTGAATACATAGACATAGACGTGATGTCACCGCGTCAAGTAGAAATCATGGGAATTCAGCTAGAAGTTCTGCATGGTTGCCAAGTGGCAGATCATCTCACTGGGAAGTGACGTCTCACTCTAAGTCGTCCCTGATTCGTGGGCTTATTCCACATCTTTTTTCAGCACAAGGTCAGTACAGCCTATCACTATCTATCACTACTTTTTTGTGATTCTATCAGTACATTCGTGGCACATTTTTTCAAAAGCCGCCGTTAAAATTCGCGGATGATCTCTTTATATCTTTTTTGTGGCTGACCAAACATGTTTCCTGAACCAGTTGTGATGTGCCAAATCAAAAATCCCCCAAGGATGTAGATCCCCCACTGGACGCCTGGCTTGGCTGTATAGTATAGCCATATGCTTCATGAAGGTAAAAATAATCTTCACTAATATAGAACCATTTATAAGATATGCAGCATCTCTATTTAAGTACATTTTATGTAGTGATTGTGTCACGTGAAGTTGTGAAGCAACACAAAGAAGAAGTATGATATGTGCATGTTGATAAATGATATGTGCATCATTGTGCATGTACCGATGTATCTGGATACATACATATATAATATATATATATATAATATATATATATATAATATATGTATAATATATAATATATATATAATATATAATATATAATATATATATATAATATATATATATAATATATATATATAATATATATAATATATATTATAATATATATATATATATATATATATTTATGATTATTTATATCTATTTATTTGTATGTGTATATATATATATTTATGATTATTTATATCTATTTATTTGTATGTGTATATATATATATACATAATTCACATACATATACATCGTGGCTGGAACGTGCCACCAGTAGCACCACTTGGAGTCTCCCAACGCATCGCATTACAAGAGTCGTCAGCTCTAGCGTCGTTAATGTGGCGAGTGATGGGACTAGAAGGTTGGGGAAGGTGACTTTTATCATAATGGGGGTAAAGCAATAATAAACCCCAAAATAGCTGGCCAATGGGTGTTCATCCCACTCAAATTGATACTAATGTGGTTAAAACAATCATTAAACAACCCATTTGGGAATGGTATATACAACCTATAAAAATGGTGATTTGGGGGATGGTTCATGGCATTGTTTTACCAACATAAACCATAAAAGTTTTCATGAGGCTGGGTTTAAGCCCCATATCTATAGAATCTACAGTTTTCATGCTGGTCAATGGATGTAAGTTGATTTATAACCCCACAGTTGTTGGAGTTCTGTTGGTCAACTTAGCTATAGAACTGGGGGGCCCCACCTTGTAGTCATGAGATTCGCGAGGTAAAAGAGAAACAACATGTTTGGAAGAGCTTAAGAACTTCAACAGAGGTCTCTGCAGAAGTCACTTTGACCATAACCCAGCGTAGCAATGTCACATTGGTAACTCTGAAATGCTGCCTGGCGGGAGAGCGAAACATGAACCTCTGGCAGGTGACACGGACTCAATGGTTTTTTGTTTGCTTGTTGACGGCTTCATGTCAGGGTAAGACCACATGGAGTTTAAGATGTAGATTATGTCTATCAGGATTGATGCGTCAGGTTTATCCACAATGTTTGATCCTCACTGTATCGTTCATAGTTCAGTGCTGCTTTCCATGCTGGGAATATGAGGAAAAGGTGGAGAGTTCACCTTTTTTTTCACCACCATGGGCAGCGTGGGCAGATGATTTTCTTCGGATCAGTGAGACGCCAATTGTTTGCCAATTGAGCATGGTCAAAACTGGGTTGTTAGTTCTAGCAACCACTCTAAGCATCCACAGTGTAGTCGGGTTTAATTGTGGCACAAGATACTGTCTCCTACATGTTCTGGTTGGTGGTGACTGGAACCATGGAATTTTGTGACTTTCCATATATTGGGAAGTTCATAATCCCAACTGTCTTTCATAGTTTTCAGAGGGAAGGTATACCACAAACCAGTCAAATTATCCTAGGTCCTACCACTTATACCACGTGATAAGTTTCCTATTATTATCATTAGTTGTCCTCCGGTAGTCAACCACCAACCAGTGCTCATTGTTTTTGGACAAAAACACCAAAATCTTGCTGGTTTCATCGTGATTTTTTCCATGGTCGGATTGCAACTTCAAGGCACCCCTAAAATCCAATTTTTTTCCGCCTTTGACTTTAATGCCGTGTGACAGCGGTAGAGACAACCAGCTACGCGTGAAGTCCCCACCAAACCCCTAAAATCCAATGACTTATCAGCATTCCCGTCTCACTATTTGATGGTCGTAAACATTGTATATATATATTGTAACATATATGGTATCATATTTTCAGACAAGTTCACACAAGAAGGGGCCCGCGAGTTACAGATTGGTTTAGAATTCCATCCAACCTCATACTACAATTTGATACATCTATCATCATCTATCTATCTACCATCTGTAGCCTTTTTAGCCAAGTTACCCACACAAACTACGCTGGCTCCCACTTGTGCACCTGGCTTGGGGCAATACCTAAACCTTGGCATCGTTGGTCAATGATTGGTCTTGCTGCATGGATCTCAAATCCAACCATAATGATTTACCTTGAACAATCAAATAAACATGTGTGTTTATCCAATCAGCCATGAAAACATATTGAAACAAAATCATGAAATCTTCACCAATACGTTCACCATCTTCCAATCATTTCTTCAAATCGGCCCCCTTTGTTCGCCAGGTTCTGCTGTTGCTGTTGGACATGCTGGGCCCTGCAGCCGCGCTGGAACGCTGGAGTTCTTGTCTGTTAGCGCCCTCGGGCATCCAGTTCTTTCGAAACAATTCCAGCCTAGCGCCGCCAGGCGAAGGATGGTGCCGCTGAAGAAATGTTTTTTTTTAGTTCTCCCTGTCCACGGAAAAAACATGATTAGCTACTAAATAATTACGGGATAGTAACTATACTATGGGTGACTATGATTATCTACTCTACTATGCTTATCTACTGGACTATTACTATGATTATCTACTGGACTATGGGTCAACATATCTATTATGTCAGAGTCACCCAATTATATTAGAACATCATAATCTATTTGCACTAAAAACCTATGCCTGCCTACTCGCGGGTACATCGCATGATAGACCCACCATATGTTGACTGCCTTAGGCCAAATGCCCCCCACCAACAGTCGAGTCACCTTCACCATGTACTGGTGGGGAGCTATTAAGGGTTTCACGAGGAAACTATCCAATAAATGGTTCGATGTTGCTGTAAGGTAACTAGATTATAGTCATGTCATGATAGCATAGATATCCATAGATATCGTACATCTAAAGAAGGTAACCCAACATGCACGATCTATCTTAATCAACTGTGGAATAACTTAAAGTAACCTTGCGCCTCTTTCGCCACTGGAGCTGAGCAGATGCGCGTCGCCAAGGAAGACGATTCATGTGGACATCAGTCGCACATACATCTACAATGGCGCCTGGGTTGGTTTTGAGAATGTATGAAGTTGTACAGTATGAATTCTGGTGTTTCCAAAATTAGTATACTTATCAGTTTGCACCTGCTATGTTTTTTTGACTAATGGAAGAAGTGACGCGGAAAAAACATCTTTTTTCATTGTCAGGAAAAGACCAAGTCCAAGTTGGATGTTCCACAAGATCTTGGAAGCACTCAAGCTTGAGACATTATCATTATTACCCGTAATCAAGCATGGCCTGGCAAATGGCCTGTTTTCAATGTTGATTGTTTTTCAGGTAAAGTCCCACAGATGTCTGATTTTCAATTGCCATGTTGCCAGTATCCCGGCGCTCTAACACGGCGATGCCCGATCGTTTTTCGGTACGCCAAAGCCACCAATATCTATCCCACAGTTACGGCCCATAGTTTCACATTAAAGCCATTGTAATCCAATATTTCATACGAAATCTCCCATATTCAAACCCTGATCAGAAGGGGAACAGGAAGGGGGGGCCCAGCTAGAAGTTGGTTCGTCACAGCATGTCATAGGCCCAAGCCAAGATGTGTCCATTATCTTAAATCCACTCAGACATTCTACGGATGGATGAGTGTGATGATTGGATCTTTCATATCTGATCATATCTGGAAGGTGAATGAAGGTGAAGGACGATGATATCTCCATTACGTTCGAAGCACTTATTCTGTGCACTTACGTGCGGTCCTTTTTTGATAAGGCAACTTACAGTACATATCGCACATCTAGTATATAATCCCAATTGTTTTATTTTGTTTGTTAAACTTAATCCATTGAAGTTTAGTGAACACTACCCTCACTTGGGTCTTTATCGAAGGAAGTTTAGAAGTGAAACTTCCGACAATATGGACAGTTGAAAAGCAGAGGTGAAAAGAGTCAGAAGAGAAAAGATCAGAAGAAAGAAGAGGTAGATGCGCGAAAAGATAGGAAAGTCGAGATTCACTGTGTTTTTCCAATGATTTGTGGCTCCGGAGGGTCGAAAAGTAGGCTCGCTAAAGCGGCGGGTGCGGAGCCAGCTGGCCAGATGAGACATGAAAAAGTGCACGCCGTTGTGGCGCGAAGCACATTTCCAAGTCAAAATGGACAAAGCACTAGAGGAGCGGACCACTTTTGGAAGTTGAGATGTCGAAAAAGTGCACGCCGTTGTGGCGCGAAGCACATTTTGAAGTCAAAATGCGCAAAACACACCATGGTCGGACCACTTTTGGAAGTTGCGATGTCGAAAAAGTGCACGCCGTTGTGGCGCGAAGCACATTTTGAAGTCAAAATGTACAAAACACACCATGTTCGGACCACTTTTGGAGGTTCACATGTCGAAAAAGTGTCGAAAAAGTGCACGCCGTTGTGGCGCGAAGCACATTTCGAAGTCAAAAGTGTAAAAAACTGAGGGTTTTGAGCCTTTTTTGACGTTAAGATGTCGAAAAAGTAGACACTGATTAAGTTAACTAACTTGACTAACTTAACTAACTTCACTAACTTAACTACCCTAACTTCGACGACAACAGCAGCAACAACAACAACACCAACACCAACCACAACAACTACAACTACAACAACTACTACAACTACAACTACACAACAACTACAACTACAACTACAACTAGAACTACAACAACTACAACAACTACAACAACAGCAGCAACAACAACAACAACAGCAACAACAACAACTACAACTACAACTACACAACAACTACAACTAGAACTACAACTACAACAACTACAGCTACAACAACAACAACGACAAAAACAACAACAACTACTACAACAACAGCAACAACAACAACTACAACTACAACAACAACAACTACTACTACTACTACTACTACTACTACACTACACAACAACTACAACCACACAACAACTACAGCTACAACTACAACAACAACAACTACAACTACAACAACTACAACTACAACTACAAAACAACTACAGCTACAACTATATGACTGCAACTACACTACACTAATTACATTACACCACAACTACAACTCCACTACGCTACAACTACAACTACAGTTGCAGTACATCACACTACATCCAGCAGTTGTGGGTGAGGTGACCACTGCAACCATTGCAACCATTCCAGCAAACACAACTCCAACCACCTTTCGGTCAATCAGTGGATTCGCTCTGCCATCCGTGATTCACAACAACCAACGTCTCCTATAGGTTTCCTATTCTGAAACTTCCGCCACCGCCTTGTGCGGTACTACTGGTAAACCATTAGCTATCATAATTCATTATAAACCTTCAAATTTCATCCTTCCCTCACCTTTCAGAGGTGAAACGTTGGGGTTTTGTTGAGATCTACATTTGAAGTGGTTCAACCTTGGATCTAATCAAATTAGATCTAATCAAGAAACCTTATATTTCCATATCATATCGACCCACTTAGCTCACTTTTGCTATCATCAGAACAAGAATCTTCAAACATCATCTTTGAGTGTTTTTTTTGTAGACCTTCATTTGAAGTGGTTCAACATGGCTCAACTGTTCAACCTTAGACACCCCATGTTTTTCTTAGGAATGGACTTCAGTCGCACCATGTCCCGCATCGAGCGGCAGATGCGCTGCGACTCAGTAGTGACGAGCACCAGTGGGATGCCACTTGGCAGGCGTGGGATTTACCCTCTGATAATTTAACATAGCTATTGAAAATGGTGATTTATAGTGAGTTGTCCCATTTAAAATGGTGATTTTCCATAGTTATGTTAGTTTACCAGAGGGAATGATGATTCAAAGAAAGGTAACTAACCAACTACTTGACAAACGAACTACTTAACCAAGTAACTAAATAACAAACTACCAAACTAACTAGCTAGCAAACTAACTGACTACTTAACTAACTAACTAACTAACTAGCTAGCTAACTAGCTTGCTAGCTAACTAACTAGCTAACTAACTATTTAGCTAGCAAGCTAGCTAGCTAGCTAACTAACTAACTAAGTAGCAAACTAATTAACTAGCTAACTCACTAACTAACTAACTAACTAACTAACTAACTAACCAACTAACTAACTAACTAATTAGCTAACTAACTAACTAACTAACTACTTAACTACTTAACTAACAAACTACTTAACTACTTAACTAACAAACTAACAAACTAACAAACTAACTAACTAATTATTGAACTAACTAAAAAAATAAATAACTAATTAGCAAACTAAATAGCTAGCTAACAAACTGACTACTTAACAAGCTAACAAACTAACTAACTAGCTAGCCAACTAACTGACTAACTAAATAACTAACTACTTAACAAACAAACTAAATCACTAACTAGCAAACTAACGAGCTAGCAAACTGACTGACTGCTTAGCTAACTACCTAACTAACTAACAAACAAACCAACTAACTAACTAACTGACTAACTAACTGACTAACGAACGAACTAACTACTTAACTAACTAACTAACTAACTAACTAACTAACTAACTAACTAACTAACTAACTAACTAACTAACTAACTAACTAACTAACTAACTAACTACCTAACTAACTAACTAACTAACTAACTAACTACTTAACTAACTAACTAACTAGCTAGCTAGCTAACTAACTAACTAACTAACTAAGTAACTAGCTACCCAACTAACTAGCTAACTAACTAACTAACTCACGAAGTAAGTAGCAAACTAGCTAGCAAACTAACTAACGAACTCACGAAGTAAGTATTAAACTAGCTAGCAAACAAACTAACGAACTAACGAACTAACTAGCTAACCAACTAGCTGAGTAAGTAAGTAGCAAACTAACTAACAAACTAACTAGCTAGCTAGCTAGCAAGCTAGCAAACTAACTCACTAACTAATTAACTAACTAACTAGCTACCTAACTAACTAACTAGCTAACTAGCTAACTAGCTAGCTAGCTAGCTAACTAACTCACAAACTAATTAACTAACTAACTAACTAGCTAACTAACTCACAAACTAATTAACTAACTAACTAACTAGCTAACTAACTAGCTAGCTAGCTAACTAACTAGCTAATAACTAGCTAACTGAGAAGCTAACTAACTAGCTAGCTAGCTGGCTAACTAACTAACTAGCTAACTAGCTAGCTAGCTAACTAACTAGCTAACTACCTATTTAACTAGCTAGCTAGCTAGCTAACTAACTAACTAACTAACTAAGTAGCAAACTAACTAGCTAGCTAACAAACTGACTACTTAACTAAGTAACTAACTAGCTAACTAACTAACTAGCTAACTAACCAACTAACTAGCTAACTAGCTAGCCAGCAAACTAACTAACTAACTAATTAACTAACTAACTAACTAGCTACCTAACTAACTAACTAACTAGCTACCTAACTAACTAACTAGCTAACTAGCTAGCTAGCTAGCTAACTAACTCACAAACTAATTAACTAACTAACTAACTAGCTAACTAACTAGCTAACTGAGAAGCTAACTAACTAGCTAGCTAGCTGGCTAACTAACTAACTAGCTAACTAGCTTGCTAGCTAACTAACTAGCTAACTAACTATTTAGCTAGCGAGCTAGCTAGCTAACTAACTAACTAACTAAGTAGCAAACTAACTAGCTAGCTAACTAACAAACTAAGTAGCAAACTAACTAGCTAGCTAACAAACTGACTACTTAACTAAGTAACTAACTAGCTAACTAACTAACTAGCTAACTAACCAACTAACTAGCTAACTAGCTAGCCAGCAAACTAACTAACTAACTAACTAACTAATTAACTAACTAACTAACTAACTAACTAGCTACCTAACTAACTAACTAGCTAACTAGCTAACTAGCTAGCTTACTAACTCACAAACTAATTAACTAACTAACTAACTAGCTAACTAACTAGCTAACTGAGAAGCTAACTAACTAGCTAGCTAGCTGGCTAACTAACTAACTAGCTAACTAGCTTGCTAGCTAACTAACTAGCTAACTAACTATTTAGCTAGCTAGCTAGCTAGCTAACTAACTAACTAAGTAGCAAACTAATTAACTAGCTAACTCACTAACTAACTAACTAACTAACTAACTAACTAACTAACTAACTAACTAACTAACTAACTAACTAACTAACTAACTAACTAACTAACTAACTAACTAACTAGGAGTCTAACATAGTTTAACTCAAGTAATTGGGGGAAAACCAATATTTCACAAACCATCCCCAAAGTCTTCAGCATCCCAGGCCGGGTTGGCTCCTCCAACGCCTCAGCGGTGCCATGGACTTCTGGTCTCAACGTCTCCGTGGGGAGACCGCAGGGGTGAACTTGGAGATGTTGCAGCATGCCTCGCGGGGCTGGACCTTGCCCTTCCAGGTCTTCCAGGTCTTGGGGATGTTGTCGACCTAGGGGGCCTAGGGGTTGTTGGTTGACGGCTGGGACATTTGTCCACGGCTGACAAAGGTGTTTTGACTTCGAGGATTTTCCCATGGCTGATTTTTCTCCGTGAAAAGCCTAATAAGAGCACCATTTAGGTTGGATTTTCCAGCTTGCCATGTTTTTCTCAAACCAAAGGGTCTGACAGATGGGAGAACTGACCCTTGTCGTTTCGCAAGCCCAGCCTCGCAGGTGCAAGAGCCTCTGGTGCCGCGACACTGGAGCCTGAACACCTCGAGCAGTGGAAAACCTTCCCTGACCCGTGAGGCCCGCGACCGTGGTGCCCCAACGGAATCGACAAATTGGTGGAACTAAGTATAGTAACTGTTGTGGGTTTATAGATGTTTATAGTATAGGAGCCCCCAAAAAGGAGATAGAAAAAAATCAAGTTGCAGTTACAATTTTCTGTCTTCGTAGGATGCTACGTTTCTATCTTTTTCGGCTTTATGACAGATATGTCTCTAGTTAACTGGTTGGTGGTTTAGAACTTATTTATTTTTCCATATAATATTGGGAATAATCAACCCAGCTGACAAATATTTTTCAGAGGGGTAGGTCAACCACCAACCGGTTATGTTTGTTATAAACCACGCAACTAAGATAACTGGGCACCACCAGGAGGGTTTCCCTGATCAGAGACGAGGAGGTGAGGTGATTCCTACGTCCAAAATTGGCGGTCCCAGCATCACAGATGGGGATTGGACTGGGAAACACATGGTGATTTCCTTGACTTCAGGATACTTCAGGATGACATATTCTGTTGAAAAACATGTCATCGAAACATGGCTGCAGACATTTTCAGCCATAGACATATTAGACATATCAAATGGTAAAGAACATCTCCATATTTGGCGAAGATTGGTTTTGTGCTTCCAAGATGGTCCATCAATTCATTATTTAGTGGGAACCTCAAGGTTGAGAATCACTCATGTGCCCATGTGCAGTATGTAAGAGTTTTATTCTTGCACGATTGGCATCTTGAACAGTTGTGCATCTGGGTTTCATCACATCGACCTCGTTTCCACGCGTGACTGGGACTTCAAAACTGGGACTCGGATGAACCAACAGCAAGGTGAAACCACTGTTGTTTATTCTTGCCCCCTTGTGCAATTCATTCATACAAAACAATGCAACGAAGGGTTTTTTTTGGTGTTAAGGACATTTAAGGACCTGGACTCCAAAGTCTTGATACGATACAAATCTGTCTGCTGTTTTTTTCGGGTCCCTCAACGTCGCTGAGATGCAAATGGTCACCTACTTCAATGCATTTCTTCCATCACACGGCACGAAGAACTGTGGCGAGCGGGTGAGACACGCAGCAGGGAGCATCTGGGTGGAGAGTTGGCCCACGCTTGAAATGGGGAAAAACCCGGAAATGGAGGTCTCCCCAAATGGATGATTTAGGGGTACCCCTATGACTCAGGAAACCTCCAAATAACATCGGTGACCCCCACCTGAAGAGGAGAATATTCGTACGCTTTGAGAATTGTGCATCTACGACTAATCACAACTACTCCTCTCCTCTGCTGCCCAGATAATTAGATAGGTAGCTAATCTTGAAGTCCTGCAAGGCCACTGAAACGCTGCAAGGGCACCCACAGTCTATGAGTTGGCTAAAAAAAAATAATCTGTGGATATAGCCGCCATCAATCCCACTTAGCCTAGCTATACACATCTATAAACGATATAAACCATGCGTTATAAACCAACTTAGCCCTTTTTGGGGTCCCAATACGGGACACGTGGCTTGAGTGGTGATGCAAGGAACGGATTCCAAAGGTTAAGATCAAAAACCGAATCCATGGCTGGGAGAATTATGATATATCATGCAGGATGGGGCCCCATAGTTAGCTAAGTTGGTTTATAACTATAATAGCAATAGTGTATGATACTTATAATTACATTTACATGGGGTTATAAACCAACTTATAACTAGGGCGGCCCACATTGTGGAATGGTTTATTACTTTTTTATATCCCACCTGTTTATGGTAAAATTGGGATTGTTTATTGTTTTACCAACATCATGGACGATTGAACACTTGAATTGGCTCATGGGACATGTGAACCGGGAACCCTCCTGTCCAAGTTCCTGGATCTACTGAAGAATCGACCATACTTATCCATAGTCCGTCATGGGAATCACCATTCTGGTAATTCCCATGAATCAACCATTAGAAGAAGCACTTTCCATAGAACATTGAACATTGATGAACATGGATGAACATAGGATGCTTCTTGAAATGGGTGAGAAACCAAAAAAGAATCACCAGTTCAACATTCCATCATCATCGAGTTACCTATCAGATAGGTAACCAACCCCAGAATCATAAGTTACAATCATACTGGTTACCTCCCTTCGGAGTGACTGCAAGTTTAGGGTTAGGTTGGTAAACTGGCTTGAATCCCTATGACTCACATCATTTTTTTTCACCATTTTTGTTTGTGAAATCCCATGTGTTGGGAAACTCTCGTAAGGTAGAGCTAGATTTGTCCTTGGTCCAGCCTTCCATGCTCTGTTGGTGGAAACCGCCTCTTGACATTGGGATTTGCGAGGTGTTGTGGGTCATGGGCATCGTGGGTCATCCTTGAATCTGTGGATGTTTCAATGACTTGATTTCAATTATACGTTGTCATCAAATCAGTTGAAAGATGATATCCAGGTTGAATCTTACTAGCTGGTGCTTTTGAATATGTCTATTCTTGTTGATCCTTATTCGGAAGGATCCTAGATATTCCTACTTGTAGGTTATAAATTAAATATGTTCCAGCGGGGTTCAAACAACCAATCAAATTCACTGGTCACATGGGGCACTTCAGCGCCCATCTGAAAACGTTGATCTGAAAACGTTAGCTTCACCGAAACAGTACAATTGACTGGCTACTATTCAAAAAAACGTGATGCGTGCTGTGGGGTTGTCCGAAAATAAGCTACCCTCTGGTAAACTAACATAACTATAGAAAATCACCATTTTTAATGGGAAAATTCGCTATTTCTATGGCCATGTTCAATAGCTATTTTGACATAACCAGAGGGTACCTCAAGCCTCAAGCCCTTCCGTGGTCTATCAATTCCCTGTCAACATGGCCTCGCATCATTCTGTGTTAATTTACACCCAGCTTCAGAGCGCTTTGCTACCGGCTGGTTCCGAAAAATCTGGGACCCCGAAAGAATCAACCAGGTAGCCATATGATTTCGTTTGCAGCTCGTCTGATTTCCATTGACACTATGAGTACGGGATGATTATGATGTAATATTCAAGGTAATTGGGCCTAGTGAGTTTCACGTTTTTTTCGAGCGGGGAACTGATGTTTCATGTATATACAATGAATATAAGGTGATTCCACAGTGAATTTGATTTGAATTTGACTGATGATACCATTGACTTTGTATGACTTTGTTTGGTTTTTATTTGACCAGGCAGCCACCCACAAAATGACCCGAATCCGTATGTTGGCTTCCATGTCAGGTCCTCTACTCCGCGTAAACCTTGGTTTGTATTTGTTTTATGTTTATGATTATGTATAACTTGATTACATAATCAGCTAAAGACGGATATTGACTTGGTATTGCAATGAAGGAGTTTTCCATGGCTAATCAAGCATGTCTATCATTGCCTATCACAACAATCATGGCTGTTTTAGTCATTGGGCCAACGTATGGTGCACCACATCTGGTTGGTGGTTTTAAACATTGCTTTGATGATGTTCCATTTCATATATGGGATAATCCTTCCCATTGACTAATAGTTTTCAAGATGGTTAAAACCACCAGCCAGTTATCTTATACCCGCTGCAAACTGCATGTACTGTTAAGGTGCGCATGGTTTGTTTGATCGAAGAGCGAGGGTACCTTGGAAAACCAGGCGGATTTAATTGGATGGGAGACGCCATTGAGAAGCCGCAAATGAAATCCATAGGATGATATATATATATATATGTATATTTGATATATATATATATAAACTATTATAGATAAATACACACCTCCATGATTCAATGATACTAAGTTATACACATTTATATATATATAATACATATGATACACGTAATACACGCACATAGTTCCATAGCTGAATATGTTGCCAGTTGTTCCAACCACCAAGGTGAGGATTCAACATAATTCAACATGATTTCATTGGGTCGGTTGAATCCCTATGAAGAGTACATATAAGATTAGCCCATAGGGTTGTTATCAAATGTTATCAATCAAACTGGAAAATCCACCATTTACAGTTGGCGACAGTTGGCGACTGACCGTGAAAACAGGTGCGTTGGCGCGCCGTGAAAGCCCGTAGAAAAGGTAAATGAACTGAGGATCAATGTATGATATATATGCTAACATTTGGGGTATATTGATGGTAAATGTTACCATATATAGCATACATGGATCCTATGGGGTTCATTTGACAATTGCTGAAAATACCCAGGATATAGCTCGGACATGATGAATATCAGGGTGCATCCCAGGAATCGTAAATGGATAAATAACCGTACTACAACTTTTTTCTTGAGAAAATGTACAAACGTCTAGATAATTCTATGTATATATATATATATATAATGATATTGTATATAACTACACATACCTAAGTTTGAATAGTTGGTTTAATTAAAAATAAATATATAAATATATATATATATATATAATATGTATGTATATACACATATATAATTATATAAACCACTGGGGCGCACATACATCCGAACTGAACTGCGGAGGTATCACCTCTTGGCAAAGAACAAGAAGTCGTTGTTGATCGTGGCCGACAACAGCCTGCAGTGGCTCCAGTATTTGCTGCGCATGCGCTGGCAATGCCCGGAGCTGTCCTTCCTTGGTCTTGATTCAGTGAAGCTGACGCTCGGTTGCGTTAAAGCCTGGAATGATGCACTGGTCCTATGGCTGTGGTATCGGAAAATGAGGCGTCCCCGCAAGTAGTGGCAAGGGGGAAGATATGACTCAACTTCAGTTGGGGTATTCCATTTCCAGGCAAACCCGGTATTTGTGTAAATATGAAGGGTTCAGATTTCTATAATGAATGAAAATCTACTTACGATCCCCCCAACTAAAATAGAACCTGCCAGATAGGGAGTTGGAAGAATTGGTTCCCTCTTCGGATCAGTGGTTTTCAGGGTCTATATTAGTTGGGGGTGGTACAATCTATAATCCCATCCTCCCAATCCAAATTCTTAATACCCCTCTGTAGATCCATTTTGGGTGAGGGGTATTTTACAGAATCGTGGGAAAGGATTCTTTGATTCCCCCTATCGAATTCCCATTGAATCGCAATTACATATCATGATACCACCGTTTTTCATGTTGTTCCACGAAATCTCAACTGTTTGGAGGTTTGGAACATTTTTTATTGTCCCATTCAGTTGGGAATTTCATAATCCCAACTGACGAACTCCATCATTTTTCAGAGGTGTAGGTATACCACCAACCAGATAAACATCTATAAAGATCTATAAACATCTATAAACTATGAACATTACATATATATATATACATATTTGATCATAATTCTTATAATCCTAGGTTACTACATTATATAATCACCCAGTCTGGCTGATCGCAGCTTGTTCCATTTTCTTTCAGGACTTGGAGAAAGCAGCGTGCTCAGCTGGATCTGGATGTTCAGGCGGCAAACCTTGGACCATGGGACCATGGTGGTGATGACTAGCTGAGTTCGCTGGTGAATTTAGCAATTACTGTGGATGGGCCGTTGCGAAATCCGGTTATCACCAGTCGATAGATGGTAAACATCCCAAAAAAATGATAGGGTTTTAACCATCCCAGGTGGTGCAAGATTTCGCTGGCCCATCCACAGTAGTATTTCATGAGATGGGATATAGGGGTATTCTTTATGGCACAGTTGGTTTATAAATAAAATATGGGTTTTATATAGTTAACTATCTATCAATGAATATATATATATATATAACTTATAGATTATATATATATATTCATTGATAGATAGTTAAACTATTGCTATAGTTGATGATGTTGTTTTTTAAAGACAACTTGTCACATGTTCACATCTTCACAGTGCTTAACCAACCCCCTGTTGGTTGATGAGGAATTATGGGCTGGCATATCTTATATCTATATACCCGGCCTGGTAGTTTAACATAGCTATTGAACATGGCCATAGAAATAGTGGATTTACCCATTAAAAATATGGTGATTTCCATAGTTATGTAAACGTTTTCCAGAGGGTACAGGATGGGGCCCCCAGTGATGTTAGTTGGCTTATAAGCCCATCTAAATATAGCTATTTGCGTATCATACACTATTGTTACTATAGTTATTTGCACCAACTTAGCTAACGAACTGCGGCCCCACCCTGTACATATTATCCATCCAATGCATTGGGGCTTGTCACAATCATCCGTTATGGGAAATCAGGAAATCCTATGAACCAGCCAGTATATAAAGGGAGGACAGAGGGTTTTGAACACTGCTTACATGGTATTACCAAATGGTATCAGAGATATTCATAAATATTCATATATTCATATAATATATATATATCGATATAAAACGTATTAAACAATTATGGTAATGGTACAGCTTTTTTGGTTTTCATTTATTGACATAGTTGTTCTTTATACTATCCTAGTTGCTGAGCAAATTAAACTGAGCTCAGGGCCACCTTGATATAAACGATGTGTAAGTGATCAGAGCCCAGCTGGCTGCGCGCAGAGGGTTTGAAACGTTGTCATTTGCTCCGACATTCTGGATTCTGGTTGGTGGTTTTGAATTCTATCTACGTACAGTTTTGTTAGAATTGTTTATTGTCATCTGTACAGCTAGTTGTGTTGAAATTGTGAATATATATATATATATATATACGTTTTCGGTATGTAGTTTGACTTTATCTAATATCGTCACGTATTAGGATTGTCCCCAGTGACGAATAGTGTCAAACATGGAGAGCCATCCTTCTTTAGCATACTAATTTACGAATAGCAACGGTTATGTGAAAAAACTGCCTGTGAGTTAATTATTGGGATATCATGTTAGAATCTGGAACGTAGAAATGATCGGAGTTCTGAGGATGAATTTCCTGGTGTCACATATTTCTTCTTGTCTTCAATACCACCTCGTGAAAATAGACACATTAGACAGGCTTGACAATGAATTATGCTGGTTATATATATATATATACCCTTCCTGAAAATATTACTGAAAGTTAACGGGGTATGGGTCAAAATGATCAACCCCCAAGAATAGAAGTTAGCGGGTACATCACCTTAACTTTGTATCCCATTCTACCCCATAGTTGGTTGTGTACCGCACTATATCCCACTATGTACCAGAGGCCAATCCCATTCTATCCCACTAAAACTATATATTAGTATCATGGGTTTGCTGGCTTATCAAAATTGTCCCACTCTTATGTATATATATATATAGAGATATATAATTATGATTTATTATGATATTCCATTCATTATGTTGATCAATTATATCAATACCATTACTGTATCCCTTGATTGTCCATTTTAACAAATTCCATGGCGAAAAAAAACATTGTATCCCAAGATTCCATGCGATATAGCCATGGGATATTACATGGCATTGAATATTCAATCCCATCATAATTCAATTAGATCTTCCACTCTATCCCAAGTATTAATCCACTATATCCGATTTATATCCCAATTAAAATCCGTAGTTCCATTATTTGCCATACAGGATGGTGCCCCCCCCAGTGATGTTTGTTGGTTTATAAACCCCATGAATACTAGTTCGTTATATCTACCATAAATCATAGAATTCAGCCATGTTAAGATGTAAGTTGCCACTTATAAGGCAACTTAGCCCATCCTGTTTGATGGTCCGAAACAAAACGCCAGCTGCGCCAGCTGGTCCTAAAGAGGCCTTCCGTTCAGCTCTGCGCCAGCGAGGCCTGCGCTGGCACCAACGCACCTCGGCAATGGGGTAAAAGTAACAACCCTTAGGATCCGGCTGGTGCTGGTATATATGCTAACATTGGGGGTATATTGATGGTAAATGTTACCATATATAGCATACATGGATCCTATGGGCAAGATTATGGGGTAAAACATTGTGGAACATAAGTTTTAAGGCTACAAACGGATGGTCTATGAAAGTCTTAGGATTATTGATTATGCTTCGGAATAGCAGGTGATACATACCCAATTGTTGGCTAGGGCAATTTCAGCACGACATATGGGGTTCAATGGGATGCAATATGTTTGCCATGTTTCGGGGCAGCAAATTTCGAGCTCTTCCCATTTGCATCCCACAGTTATGGTCCAACTAAGAGTGATAAATGGGATTATTTCATGATATATTACCTCAGCTTTAGGAGTTATAATCCCATGTATAACTGTTAATTAAGGGACATAACCTGCAGGTATGTTTTTTGAATCGGTTTGAGCTTTGTTTGCAAGGTGGATGGATTGTCATCATTCTTTAGAGATTCTTGACCCCTGCATACGTACAGCGAAATAACTGGGTCTTTCTTGACCGGTCGTGGACAATCTGCCTATGTGTTTACAGTATGTAGATATAGCTGTAAGTATATATATATATAGAGAGAGAGAGGTATAAAATACAGTTTCTGTTCTTGTCTACACTGCATGTGTAATTATATATATATAGTATACCTATTATTTGTCTATAGTATGTATAATACAGATCCAGGTAACCAAGCATATGTGTTTGTTTTGTTACCAAAACATGATTTCCAGCCTTCCAGCCTTTGAATGCAGCTGTAAAAGAAAACAACTCCAAGACCATCATGCAGTGTTCAAGACATGGATCGATTCATTGGGTATTGATATGAGCTATGGTCAATACTCATGGTTAATAACCATTAAAAACGGGGCTAGTCATCCAATGGTTCCACTCGGGATTTATAATAACCATCATTTTTGGATCCTTATTATGGATGGGATGACCATCAACCATTTTTTGTGAGTATTGACCATGGCTCATATAATTTGGCCAAAAACCTAGCCCCTTTCACTAACGCGTTTCTGATGGTTGATGGGGATTTTCTGGGTATTTGATCGGTTTTAGCGGGATTTTTCTCGGGGTTTAATGATGATTTTTTTGGGGGTGTTTCTAGGGATTCATGATGATCTATGGGAAATAAGATATGTTCCATTTTTGACTAACCCTACCCTGGATGATGATCCGGTTTGAATAATATTGTTCAGAGGGGTGGCTCACCCACCAGGTTCTGGTTCATAACCCATATATTTATTCGTGAAATATCCATCATATCTTGATGGTTTGTCCAAAGCCTGTTATCTCAACTAGGCTTCCACAGCATATTCTTGCTTCCCTTGGGCGTGATGCAGCAGAGCAGTTCACCGCACCCTTCCTTGGCTCTCTTGCCGACGCTGGGAAGCAACAAAAACACGTGCGGGGTAAACTAATGGGTAGAACTACGGTGCTCCACAAGTTTGGACATCCTGTACCCTATGGTTATAAGTCGTTATATCCACTTGTAAATGAAGCTGCACCCCCCAAAAAAAAAGCTGAATCCTCCAAGTACCTTTCGGAGCGCTCATTAAGCCATCTAAGGTTGGATGGGTAGGTGGATGTACATCCCGCTTTAAAACTGGATAAGGATACATGGATAGCTGAGGATATCCCATATATGATTGGGTGCCTAACCAGATTTACCAGTTGCTAACCCGGATGCACATCCAAGTAGCTGGAAAGCGCTTAAAAAGTCTCACCAACCCGTACCATGGTGCTGGACATGTCCCAAATGCCTTGGTGTTGGAAGGGATGGAGCCGGACAGCATGCTGGGGGCATTTGAAGGTACTGTGGAGGCAGAACATGGTGTGGGAAACCCAATAATAAGCCTAGCATGATGGTGATTCTTGGGATGGTTCTAGATGGTTTATATTCGGTTTACCACATTACTGTACTTGGTCAGAAAACGCTGCACAGGAGGGAGTTGTTGAGGCCTTGTTGAACGCTTCACACTTGGACTAGAAGGCCCAAAAAAAGTGAAGTCCATGGAGTCCATGAACCAAACATTCTTTTTCGCAGCACTTCATATGTTGGGTAAAAAAAAAATGCTGAGCTCCTGGCATCCAACGCCTTGACATGCCTTGACATCGGCGTCTGCCTGAGGGTGATGCAAGAATGGCTCCTGAACGATTTTCCTCAAAATCGTTCTGGCCACAAAAGCTTGATTGGCGAGCTGGTCTTTGCTTTCTTGGCCCACAAGAGTCGTGAGGACAACATGGAGTCCACCGTCCGCGTGAGGATGGTACGATCTGCATACTTTTGGGAATTTGTTCTCAGTATGCATGTATGGAAGTAGACCAGTCTAGCCAGAAAACGTTCCATTTATCTATATATAACAGCCATCAGCAAATATATCGGCATAGTTGTGGGTACACACAGTACAGTACACACCTCATGTGTTTACCAATATAAACATCCTATGTGTGGGTGAAGATGCCAGACCGCATGTCAATGCATATATGTCAGACGATATGGCAGGTATATATGTCATTGTTAGTGTCACTTTATGTTTGCACACTTTACGAGTCAGACATGTTGCGTTTTTACATTTGCCATGCAGTCCGCATGTCAAACTTTTCTGTTGAGGATGTGAGAGTAACACTGGCAGATCAGCTTGGTATGATCGTAGGTACTTGGCCAAACACCCCCAACTTGAGATCCTGCTTTAGCAGATCTATAAATCTTGGGTAGAGATGGGATTAGTACCTGCGCCTATATATTTTATCCTTGCCCCTTTGGAAAGTGAGTTCCGACTTCGTTACTTTCGCAACCGTTTCATATCTGGTCGGTCATCCTCAACTACTTTGCTTTATCATATCAGTCCGTTTCTTGGATACCTATTTGCTGTTTTTCCCGAGAGCGTCTGAGCGCAGGGTTCTTCCAATAGTGGTGGTCTGCAAAACATCTTCTCATCCTCACATCTTCTCATCTTCACATCTTCTCATCTTCACATCTTCTCATCTTCACATCTTCACATCTTCACATCTTCTCATCTTCACATCTTCTCATCTTCACATCTTCTCATCTTCACAACTTCTCATCTTCACACCTTCTCATATTCACATCTTCTCATATTCACATCTTCTCGTCTTCACATCTTCTCATCTTCGCATCTTCTCATCTTCACATCTTCTCATCTTCACATCTTTTCATCTTCACACCTTCTCATCTTCACATCTTCACAGCTTCTCATCTTCACATCTTCTCATCTTCACATCTTCACAGCTTGTCATCTTCACATCTTCTCATCTTCACATCTTCTCATCTTCACATCTTCTCATCTTCACACCTTCTCATCTTCACATCTTCTCGTCTTCACATCTTCTCATCCTCACATTTTCTCATCTTCACATCTTCTCATCTTCACATCTTCTCATCTTCACATCTTCTCATCTTCACATCTTCTCATCTTCACATCTTCTCATCTTCACATCTTCTCATCACATCTTATCATTTTCACATCTTCTCATCTTCACACCTTCTCATTTTCACATCTTATCATCATCACATCTTCTCATCTTCTCATCTTCACATCTTCTCATATTCACATCTTCTCATCTTCACATCTTCACATCTTCTCATCCTCACGTCTTCTCATCTTCACATCTTCTCATTTTCACATCTTCTCATCTTCACATCTTCTCACCCTCACATCTTCTCATCTTCACATTTTCTCATCTTCACATCTTCACATCTTCACGTCCTCACATCTTCACATTTCCTCATGTTCACATCTTCTCATCTTCACATCTTCACATCTTCTCATCCTCACATCTTCTCATCTTCACATCTTCTCATCTTCACATCTTCTCATCTTCACATCTTCACATCTTCTCATCTTCACATCGTTTCATCTTCACATGTTCTCATCTTCACATCTTCTCATCTTCACATCTTCTCATCTTCACATCTTCTCATCTTCACATCTTCTCATTTTCACATCTTCTCATCTTCACATCTTATCATCTTCACATCTTCTCATGTTCACATCTTCTCATCTTCACATCTTCTCATCCTCACATCTTCTCATCTTCACATTTTCTAATCTTCACATCTTCTCATCCTCACATCTTCTCCTCTTCACATCTTCTCATCTTCACATCTTCTCATCCTCACATCTTCTCATCTTCACATTTTCTCATTTTCACATCTTCTCATCTTCACATCTTCTCATCTTCACATCTTCTCATCTTCACATCTTCTCATCCTCACATCTTCTCATCTTCACATCTTCTCATCTTCACATCTTCTCATCTTCACAACTTCTCATCTTCACACCTTCTCATATTCACATCTTTTCATCTTCACATCTTCTCGTCTTCACATCTTCTCATCTTCGCATCTTCCCATCTTCACATCTTCTCATCCTCACATCTTCTCATCTTCGCATCTTTTCATCTTCACATCTTCTCATCTTCACATCTTCTCATGTTCACATCTTCGCATCTTCTCAAATTCACATCTTCTCATCGTCAAATCTTTTCGTCCTCACATCTTCACATCTTCTCATCTTCACATCTTCTCACCCTCACATCTTCTCATCTTCACATCTTATCATCCTCACATCTTCTCATCTTCACATCTTCTCATCCTCATATCTTCTCATCTTCACATCTTCTCATTTTCACATCGTCTCATCTTCACACCTTCTCATTTTCACATCTTCTCATCCTCACATCTTCTCATCTTCACATCTTTTCATTTTCACATCTTCTCATCTTTTCATCTTCACATCTTCTTATCCACACGTCTTCTCATGTTCACATCTTCTCATCCTCACATCTTCTCATCTTCACACCTTCTCATTTTCACACCTGCACATCTTCACATCTTCCCATCTTCACATCTTCTCATCCTCACATCTTCTCATCTTCACATCTTCTCATTTTCACATCTTCCCATCTTCACATCTTATCATCCTCACATCTTCTCATCTTCACATCTTCTCATCTTCGCATCTTCACATCTTATCATCCTCACATCTTCACATCTCCTCATGTTCACATCTTCTCATCTTCACATCTTCTCATCTTCACATCTTGACATCTTCACATTTTCTCATCTTCACATCCTCATCTGCACATCTGCTCATCTTCACATCTTCTCATCTTCACATCTTCTCATCTTCACATCCTCATCTGCACATCTGCTCATCTTCACATCTTCTCATCTTCACATCTGCTCATCTTCACATCTTCTCATCCTCACATCTTCTCATCCTCACATCTTCCCATCTTCACATTCTCACATCTTCACATCTTCTCCTCTTGTCCTCTTGCCCTCTTGCCCTCTCCTTCTTTTCTATTTCTCTCTTGAAGGCGCGGGGCAGTGCCAACGCTTTGCGCACGAAATGAAGTTCGATCGCCAAAAACTGTGGTAAAATTGCGATTTCAAGGCGTCCCACGCAACCTTTTCGCACGAAATGAAGTTCGATCGCCAAAACTGAGGTAAAATTGCGATTTGCAAGTCGTCCCGCGCAACCCTTTCGCACGAAATGAGGTTCGATCGCCAAAAACTGAGGTAAAATATGGTAAAATTGCGATTTCCGGGTTCCGTCGCAACTCTTTCGCACGAAATGATGTTCGGTCGCCAAAAACTGCATGAGGTAAAATTGCGATTTCCGGGTTCCCGTCGCAACCCTTTCGCACGAAATGAAGTTCGATCGCCAAAAACTGAGGTAAAATTGCGATTTGCAAGTCGGCCCGCGCAATTATTTCGCACGAAATGAGGTTCGATCGCCAAAAACTGACGTAAAATTGCGTTTTCCGGGTTCCTGTCGCGACCATTTCACACGAAATGAGGTTCGATCGCCAAAAACTGAAGTAAAATTGCCATTTCCAAGTTGCCCGGCGAAGTGTGTAAAAGCAACTGTGTGTAAAAGCGCCTGTGTATAAAATTGTTTGCGTGTAAAAGTGTCTGCGTGTAAAGCGTCTGCGTGTAAAGCGTCTGCGTGTAAAGGCGTCTGTGCGCAAAAGCTTCCGTATGTAAAAGTGTCTGTGTCTAAAAGCATCTGTGTGTAAAAATGTCTGTGCGCAAAAGCTTCCGTATGTAAAAGTGTCTGTGTCTAAAAGCATCTGTGTGTAAAAGCGTCTCTGTGTAAAAGGTTCTCTGTGTGAAAAACTTTACAAAAGATACGATGCAAACTATTATACTTGCAATTTATTGTCTTGATACTACTACTCTTCTCGTCTGCCTATAAAACATTTTTAATGTATTGTCTTGTAATATGGTGTCTCCATACTAACAACAGAAGACCCTGCTCTATACGCTCTCGGGCCATCCGTCGTCTAGTTGTTGATGTTCCCACGGCTGTAAATTATTGGTCCTCATCTTGATTTCACATTCGCCATATCATACCCTATGGATCCAGCCGTACCTTCCTAGGAAGTGTTTGGGATATAATGACTAGGGGGTTAGCCGTACCTTCTGAGACAGTGGCCATGGATCCATAGGGACAATTTCTGGTGAGATCATTGAAACCATTCATGGTCCAGTGGCCCAGTGCCGACCCGCACTGCTCCGCAGGATCGTCTGTTGGTGGAAGCGACGGGCTCTGGCCCAAGTCGCTTCCGACATATCACGGGGGTCATGGATCGAAGCATGGTGAAGAGTCGCTGGGACACCAGGGTGACGAGGTCTCCGAGGTCTCTGAGGTCTCGTTTTTGGGGCTCCAACAGCTTTGACCCAAAGCCAGGGTGCTGACACTGTGGGTAAACTTATGAAATAACCCAACTGTTGGTTGAGCAAATATGGGGATTTTAACATTTGATATATGGGTTTTATTCACTAAGGATATGAGGGAATACGTCCAACCGAAGCGATCAGAGGAATCCTTCCCTTACCTTCCAGTTGGCGATCAGAGATAGGTTTCATTGGATTGGTCTAAGAGAACATCTACATACAGGAGACCATGTTTTTTTCCTATGTTGTTTCCCATGATCCTGTAAATTTTCCCTCCAACAAATCCAATGATAGTTATCTGGTTGGTGGTTTGGAACATTTGGACTATTTCCTCCATATATTGGGTATAATCATCCCAACTGACTAATATTTATCAGAGGGGTAGGTCAACCACCAACCAGTTATGATATGATTGTACCTTTGCTTTCGATGGAGGCATGCTATCTTCCCTTCGTAGCTACAGGGGCTCCAAAGTCCGAGGCTCTCTGTGTGTAGGTGTAGGTTGTTAAACTCTGCTATGCTTCCTTTGGCCGTTGGCCCCCAGCAAATCAATGAGACACATACAATGGTATATATAAATGGGCTAACGCCCGGGTGCCGCCGACCCCCTTTCAATGGGGGTTGGCCTCTGCAGCCATTTGATAGGGGGGTCTCGGCGCGCGCCCATGTATGGTGGCAAGGTGCGATGGGTTGGAAACTCCGCAAGTTGGGGAACACGAGGTTTTGTACTTGGTTAAGGGTTTGAACGCCTTAAGAGCAGAGGGCCATGGAGGTGGCCAGAGTGCCTGGTCGAAGCTGCCGCGGAGCATCTTAAGGGCTTGAAGTCTGGCAAACGGCAGGCTTGAACGCCCAAGAACAGAGGGCCATGGGGTTGGCCAGAGTGCTTGGTCGAAGCTGCCGCGGAGGATGCATTTTAAGGGCTTGAAGCCTGGCAAACGGCAGGCTTGAACGCCCTAAGAACAGAGGGCCATGGAGGTAAGCAGAGTGCCTGGTCGAAGCTGCCGCGGAAGATTTTAAAGGTTTGAAGCCGGGCAAACGGCAGGCTTGAACGCCCTAAGCTGGCAAACGGCAGGCTTGAACGCCCTAAGAACAGAGGGCCATGGAGGCGGCCAGGGTGCCTGGCTGAAGCTGCCGCAAAAGATTTTAAGGGTTTGAAACCTGGCAAACGGCAGGCTTGAACGCCCTAAGAACAGAGGGCCATGGAGGTGGCCAGAGTGCCTGGTCGAAGTCGAACCACTTTAAGGGTTTGAAGCCTGGCATAGGCAGGCTTGAACGCCCAAGAACAGAGGGCCATGGAGGTGTGGCCAGAAGCCTGTTCGAAGGTGGCCAGAGTGCCTGGCCGAAGCTGCCGCGGAAGATTTTAAGGGTTTGAAGCCGGGCAAACGGCAGGCTTGAACGCCCTAAGAACAGAGGGCCATGGAGGTGACCAGAGTGCCTGTGGTCGAAGCTGCCGCGGAGGATTTTAAGGGTTTGAAGCCTGGCAAACGGCAGGATTGAACGGCAGGCTTGAACGCCCTAAGAACAGAGGGCCATGGAGGCAAACGGCATGCTTCAAAGCTCTGACAACAACTGCCTGTGGCCAGAGTGCCTGGTCGAAGCTGCCGCGGAGAATTGTAAGGGTCAGAGGGCCATGGACGCAAACGGCAGGCTTCAAGGCTCTAACAACAAATGCCTGTGGCCAGAGTGCCTGAGCAAAGCTGCTGCGAAGCATTGACGCATTTGAAGCCAACAAAAACAAGTTCCACACCTGAGTGGTCCCAGGCGCCGCCCCTGCCTTGCCGAAGGCGGGGGTCGGCATATATATATATATGTATGTGTATATATATATATATATGTATGTATATATATATATACTCATGCAGCAGAGCATATACACTATATATATATTTATGTATATATGTATATATATATGTATATATATATATGTATATATATATACTCATGCAGCAGAGCATATACATTATATATATATATATGTATATATATATACATACATAGATGATACATCTATGTATATAGATTATACAGCAACTGCCAAGAATATAGAAACAATATTTGACACTAACTTAGCAGGATTGTACTTCTCTATGTTTTTCTTTGGGGATACTATTAGTATGTGTATATAAATATACAATTATGTTTCCAGCCTTTCATTTGATGATTCTGGATGGTTGCTACCAGAATTCATGTTCCCTGTTCCTCAGCTTTACCTTCTCAGAGTAGTTCGGAGTGTCTCAGCTTAGGGAAGTTTAGGTGCTGTTTAGTAGTCTTAGAATTCCAGTGAAAAGTTTGTTACTCTTTGAAATTCCATGATTTTCTTGGTATTCCAAGTTGATCAATCTTAGGAATACACTCTGGTAAACTAACATAACTATGGAAAATCACATTTTTTAATGGGAAAATTGATGAAAATCCACTATAAATGGTGATTTTCCATAGTTATGTTAGTTTACCAGAAGGTAGTCATTTCCAATTTGTTCCAATGAGAATCATGACCACCACTGGCTTTCCCAGTTCGTCTTCGGGCGTACTCCCATCCACCGTTAACATGAAACACCCCCGTTGCATGGTCCCAAATATGTGGCTTCATCCCCTACTATATACTGTAAACCATGGCATTTGGGGTATATTTCAAGTGAAAGAGGGAATGGATTCTCCACAAATAGCATGGTTTGTAATTTAAAGTTTCAACACTGACAAAAACGAAGGCCATGGAAGGTCCCAAGGTCAGAGTTTGTTTCGCCATAAGAGCACAGGAAGTGGCCGCCAAAGGATAGGAGAGTTGGTTGAACTAATTGGGCGAACTGGGATTTATGATGGGTGTATCCATAATAGAATGGGCTAGCGCCCTGGTGCCGCCGACCCCCCTATTTGGGGGGTCCTAAAGAGAGAGGGAGAGAGAGAGAGAGAGAGAAGGGGCATGTAGCTGTAACAGTTGTTGCCTTGGAGGCCTGCGGAAGCGTTTTGGGGGCTTGAGGCCGGGCAAACGGCAGTCTTGAACCCCCTGAAAAACAGATGGCAGGGGCATGTAGCTGTAAAAGTTGTTGCCTTGGAGGCCTGCGGAAGCGTTTGGAGGGTTTGAGGCCGGGCAAACGGCAGTCTTGAACCCCCTGAAAAACAGATGGCAGGGGCATGTATAGATGTAAGAGTGGCCTGCGGAAGCGTTTTGGGGGTTTGGGGGGTGTGAGGCCGGGCAAACGGCAGTCTTGAAAGCCCTGAAAAACAGATGGCAGGGGCATGTATAGATGTAAGAGTTGTTGCCTTGGAG